TATGTTTCTATTTATATTAATTAATAAATATAGTTATTAATGAGTTCATGAAAATGTTTTTTTTTCTGTTTGGCTGATGAGACTCCAAAAGTTCCAAATAACAATTCCTTATATACTTATGCCATATTGAAAATAGTTTGGAGTTGATTAAGGCTTCATTTGCGGTATCTTGTGATCACTCCGAGCACAGCCGAGAATTGGAAGTAACTGGCTGGCGCTGCCAGTAATTACGCCGCAGGGTATTCAGGGCACAGATCGTGATCACAAGATACCGCGAATAGAAAAATAGATTTTTCATGTGAATGGAGTCTAAAAGATGTTATATTTACAACCAAAGAAAAGGTGAAAACTGCATGGCTGAATCTTACCAATCACTCCTAGGGAAATATTGTTCTTATGAATAACCTGAGTACAAAGTATTTGGATCAACAACATAATAACTGCAGCATCAAATAGAAATGTTTATTTAAAAGTATTGTGGTTCTTACACTGTGTAAACAAGATTGCTTCTAATTTATTGCTTCTTATAAAAAAATCATTTTTGCTCATTGCTGTTGTTAATTATCTAATTTTCTACCAAGTACTGGCTATTCAGACAAGTCTCTAATGCAGCCCTATTAATATGTGTTATATAAAAGTAACATCTGTTCAATTACGCTAAATGGTATGATACTACCACCACAGCATGAAACAAGACGGTGGATTTCCCCTCTGTAACAAAAAGATCAATACGAAATACAGTGAAGGCACAGGTTCAAAGTATGACAGACTAAAGTGAAGGAAGTAATAAATAGGTCAATTTCCAAATTTAGAACATGGTTTTACATGATTATAGAAATCACTATAAACAGAGAGGCCCATTTATAAAGCTGGACATTTAGAACTATAGACTAGTGAAAATGTACTCTCTCCATGTAACATAAACATCATAGATTCCACATTGCAAAAAGCTAAATTATTCTTGGGTCAAATCCACGATATTGGCCAGAAGGCGAGGGATATTTGTCCCTAATGGCCCAAACACAACATGAGGGAATAACCCTTCTGTCCCCTCTTGTAAGTCTGTCAAATTTCCACATGATATAAGATCTGTAGGCGGCATGCCTCATTGAGGCATTATCCTCCTCTCCTTGTTCTCTGTCCTCATTACGAAATCCTAAAATGTCCCCTCTGGCCACTCGTAAGATTCCCAGGTGGAATTCATTAGTTATATTTAATTCCATGGTCTGCAATGTATAGATCATACATATTTATATAGATGCTGTATAATTAATATTTTGTGAAATACTAAATAAAGTAAAAAAATTTTACAGCTCTTTTATTTTAAACTATAGTATGAAGGTGGGAAAAAAATAAAACAATAAGCACAACAGGGCACACATTAGTGTAAAACTACCACCATTTGAATATCATTAAGTTACCATTTTATTTCAATAAAATGAGTGATAGTTTGGGAGAAAATTTACCGGATCTTTACTGATGCAGTCTCCTGGGGGTCTTTGACAACAGACCCTTTCTGCTGCCGTTGGCATTGGTCTGCAATTCGTACAGATGCACCACTCTGGTGCAACAGTGGGCTGAGGCACTGGGTCTGGCTGGCCACTACATCCAGGTAAATTGTCGTTAAGAATTTTTTCAATGTCCATTGCCAAAGAAGGATTTCTGTTGGCAATCTTTATAACTATGTCAATAAGGATGTCTTTTTCCACACCGTCACATTTTTCCTAAAATAAATGTCAAAACATGAGATTTTGTCTTACGAACATTACCATGGAATTAAGTAGTTTAGAGATCATTGGTATAAAAACATTCAGAAAAAAACAGTCAGTCAGTAAAAGAAAAGTAGTTTTCAGAATAGAAAAAAAACTATGCATTGAAATTTCATTGATGTATTGATAAAACATTGATACTTGTCTTTTATCAAATCTGTTTTGAAATAGTTTTTCAGCATAGCAATTATTTGAAGTACAGAACACAGCAAAATTACCCTGAGCCTGGAATTTCTTGCCTCTTGCAAGTTTCTGATCCTCTCTTCCTCTTCAATCGACATGGACTGTATATTTCCCCTACCACGTCCACGTGATCTTCTTCTCCCTCTGCTGCTTGCACCTGACCTGCCTGAACTTCTAGTACTAGGGCCTGCATCTGCTGCACTGGTGCTTGCTGTAGCTTGATCTCTCTGGCTACTACGACCCCGACTCCACCTCCCTCTCTTTGATTTTGCTGGTCTTCCCACAGGTCTACTGGGTCTAGCAGGACTGGGATTCTCACTGGTACTGCTGCATAACATAAAAGGCCTTGTTTCTTGTCACTTGTTTACATGTATAACAAAGTTGAAGTGACCTTTTCATTTTTAAAAAAGAATTAAAAACTTGCTATGAAAAAAATTCATAACTTTTATCACTTAGGCTTATCAGTGTTTCACCCTCGACATACCTGCTTGGTCCTACTGGACAGCTGCTACTAGTACTACTGCCATTGCTATCCGACTCCATTTCATTCCAGTCTGTAAAATAAAAATGAAAACATGCGTCAGTTCTACATAATTTTCAACCGAATGTCACATGTATAACTCAAATGAGAAGAAAATACACGTAGGAAGTTTCAAACTGAAGAAAGAAAAACTATTAGTTATTGTAAGCTTCGAAATGGATAATAACGTAGTGTAGGTCTGAAGATATTGTCAAGTGCGAAGTTGTGCGGAATGGATACTACGCAGTTCTTTTCCACAAACGTGTTCGCCGTTTGGAAAGAAAATCTGGCCAAAACACGCGATACATGCATTCTCAAAAGGTCACTGTGATCCCAATTGTATTTATATACAAAACTGCATTTATATACAAAAGAAAAAAGCCCACGACGAGAGAATAAAAAAGTATACGGCACTTACATGTCTGACAAGTTTCGCTCTGTAGTCGTGACGTCTATCTCATTCTGACTGAAGCCTGCTGTGATTGGTCGTAAGCGTGGGAAAATCGAGGTCGTGACCTTGAGCCGGAAGTACTTCCGGCTGTGCTCCGAAATCATGATAAATAGTTTTCGTTTTCTAATTTTTTATTCTAGCTGTCTTAACAGAACTTTTGTGACCCAGACTTATTAATATAATAATAAACAATCTCCCAAAACACAAATCTGATCAAAGTTTTACATAGAACCTGCATCTATACATTTATCTAACCCACTGAGTTGTCCTTTAAACTTCTATGCTTCCCTGTACACATTTTTCTCCAATGATCAAAGTTTTATCAACTAAATTCACCACACAATTTCTCTCCTTCAAAAACTTCAATCCCAACAACATATCAATTCCTTCTTGCAAATCTGCAACATACACATTTTCCTTATATTCTATCCCATCTATCTCAATACTCAAATTTTCTACTCTATGACCCATCATAAATGCATTTTTTCCAGCAAGCATTAATTTCAGAGTCTCACAAAATTCGGGCACACCCTGCAATTACTATAAAATCTTTTATTTACAATAGTAAATTGAGCTGCAGTATCCACAACTGCTAATGTTTTCACACCACCTACACTAACAGGAATCACAAAATTTTCTCCCACTAATTCTTCAACATTCATCATTTTCACATTTCCACTATCCATAATCCGACCTTCAACATGAAGTAAGGGATCCGAAATCCGGTCGGTCAATTCGTCCCGTTCTAGTTTACCGAATTTCTTGCACCGGGAGGAGGATTCTTTGGCATTTCTCTATTTTGAGGGCAATTTGTTTGAATGTGACCTCTCTGTCCACATTTATTACAAATCAAAATAGAACTTGGGCTAGCATTTTTACTAACATTGGGATTAGGTGGATGTTCTACAATTTCATTCTTACAATCCCTTTGAACATGACCTCTTTCTCCACATTTAAAACATTGTGGTGGACCCCCTCTACTTTGATTTATGTTTCCATTCTGGGGTAATTTTACCATTCTACCAGAATTTCTCTGAGAATTTGACGGTGACACCCATGCATCATTCATTCTTTTCATCTGATCACACATTGTAGACATGGTTCTTTGCATGTTGTAGAGTAATTGATTTCCACTTCCATTCTCCACACTCTGATCAGACATTCCAACTTGTCTAATATGCACATTTCTCCCACCTGTGCCATACACTGCTTTGAAGTTATTGTTTGCAACTTTCACAAACTCTAACGCTTCAAATAAATCTTTAGGCTCTTTATCCATAGCCAACTTTGCAGATTCTTTGTCACGACACCCTCTCAAAAATGAATCCACAGCTATTCCCTCACCACCTTCTGCATATCCCTCTCTAGATGCCATGAACACACGATGAGAAAAATCTTGCAAAGATTCACTTTCACCCTGTCTCATTGATTGAAGTGCTCTACGTGCAGATGAAGCAGACTCTTTCATACTAAAACGTTTTGACATCACTTCTTTCAAACGTTTATATTTGCAGTTTCCAAACTCCACCGCATACTCAAGAGCTCTGTCTTCCAAACATTCAATCAATCTGCTAGTTTTTATTTTATCATTCCATCCATATCTTTCTCGAAATATTATCTCGAAATTTTGAGATAGCATTTTGAAATTTGAACAAAAAAATTTTTTATCTCGAAATTTCGAGATAGCATTTTGAAATTTGAACAAAAAAAATTATCTCGAAATTTCGAGATAGCATTTTGATATTTGAACAAAAAAATTTTTTATCTCGAAATTTCGAGATAGCATTTTGAAATTTGAACAAAAAAAATTATCTCGAAATTTCGAGATAGCATTTTGATATTTGAGCAAAAAAAAATTTATCTCGAAATTTCGAGATAGTATTTTGAAATTTGAACAAAAAATTAATGATAATAATAATAATAATACCCACAATGCATGAGGGATGTGAAAACGGAACTACACGAGGAAACCACATGCTCTACATTCAAAGGATTCATTTTAGCCTATCTGTTATACCCGAAAAAGCTTTGTTTGTAGAGTCACATGAATTTGAACAAAGGGGCTCAATTATTTCAGCAAACGGGACGTGAAAGATATAGACCAGGGCTTGGAAGAATTTATGAGGGAAAGAGGGATGACAGGTGAGATTACTATAACACTTAAACCAGTTGTCAAAATAGCTTTGCCGCCTTGTTTTTAAAATTAAGGACATTGTAACCCTTTGTTATCATCCTAATAACAAAAGAGTTTTTTCCTGCATCCAATTATTCAATAATGCATCTGTCTTTGTGCAGATTTGAAACAATGAAAAAACTCCCAGAAATGTAAAATATCGGTATTTATATTTTTTCTTTTCGATGTATATTCAATAGCATAGGCAACTCAAAGCTTTAATCGTCAATTTAACACCTTTGTATTTTTTTATTAGCAATCGGTATGAAGAGTAATTTCGTCCCTGAACTAGATTTTATCACGAAATTGTTAGAGCTGACCAGGAGTGTATATATGTAGGCTACAATCCCGTGTCATCATTTTGGTTTAAATGCTTTTATTATAGAGCTATGAGGCTTTGAGTACAGATTATTAGTAAACAAAGGTGTCATTTTGCTTTATCAACGATAAAATCTGAACTAAGGCTTTTAAGAAATATTGCTGGCAGGGTTTTGGAGTACTAAATGGTGTCATTAAATCGCCCTTGAAATGGTGATCTAAAGAGAACTGATTTTCTAGTTTTTACCCCAAAATCGCAAATATGACGTCACCCATGAAATTACATGTATAAATGTTAAAAAATTTAGTCACTGAACACTGAAGATTTATTTATTACCCAAAAGAATGCATGTAAGGCAGTAAATAAGGAGTTTTGGGCGAAGGGTTAAATGTCCTTAATTATCCCTTTTGTATTTTTCTGTTTAAGGTTTACAGCCCCAACAGTTTGCCAGTACATTGTTGCAACAAGTTATTATCAATATTATTTGAACTCATTATTATTTTAATAATCATTGGTGTAGGCACCACACTTACCAGTCGAACAAAGTTCAAACAGTACTTTGTCATGAAAAAATCTTTTTTATTTTTTCGTTACAGATAAACAATGAACGAGCAATGCGCTTGCTCTTAATCACCGTATCGTCTTAAGTCTCAGGACACTGAAGAGACGGTTGCGCCAACAATGTCTGTTCCAACGCTAACACTTTACAGCCATTTTGGAGGTTGCAGATTTTATTATTGATCAGATCAATGAAAGTGGAAATATGCATGGATACAGATAGATGCATTTGAAGTGTTTGCAAGCAGGCAAGACAGTCCAGCGAGACACAGTGTATTTAATAATGAAGATCATAGATCCTGATGGTTTGCAACTTAGGAGAAGAGGCAGGCTCAAAAGAAGAGAATACTTTGCGCGAGGACCAAACTATTTGTGGCACCTAGACTCATATGACAAATTGAAAACTTATGGCTTGTGCATCAACGGATGTATTGATGGGTTTTCTCGTCAGGTGATTTGGTTGTACGTATATCGCACAAGCAGCGACCCAAAAGTAATTGCTGGATATTACATAGAAGCAGTGAGTGCCATGGAAGGATGCCCAAATTTAGTCAGAGGAGACATGGGAACCGAGAACGGTCATGTAGCACAGATGCAAGAGTTCTTGTCGGAGCAGAATAGCTTTATTTATGGGCGGAGCACTCACAACCAGCGGATTGAAGCCTTTTGGTGTATGCTGCGTAAAGAATGCATACAATTTTGGATGGATGTTCTGAAA